CCGGGGGGGGGGGGGGAATTACCACTCACTACTACATAAGTGCAAGTTTTGCATTTAACAGTTTACAAACAGGACACCAGAGAAGCCATATTAAAAATAATCTCCATGTAGAAAAACATGCCAGAGGCATGCCAGTAATGGCTGACTTCAGGAAGGAACACATGAATTCCTATGATAAGATACAGAAGAAGAATGCTCTTACAAAAGCAGATTCCACTGTAATACAGTACACATAGTTTAGAAATGGGATATTCATATTCATACCCCCAGGATATCAACACCACAGGTGCCTGGAGAAACTGGGCCCTCCCCCCAGAACCAGTAAGTCCACTTACTGCTCGCTGCGTGGCACACACAACCATCATCATTCATGCTGCGCCAACTGTGGAAATAGCCCAGCCAGCACTCCCCCCCCCCTGCATATCTGACCACTCAGCAGCTGAGTGGGGAAATTTGTCGTCCCACCTCCTCACCAGAGTGGTCAGCTGTGTGGGGAGGTAGCAAAGTGCCAGCCAAGCTACTTCTGCGATTGATGCAACACGGACGACAATGGCCACAAACGGTAAATGGATCAGCTGGTTCTGGGGGGATGGTCTGGTTTCCCCAGGAACCTGTGTTTCCCTTTCCCCCAGGGAAACAAATATGAATATCCTATATACAGTGGTGCCTCGCTTAGCGATTGCTCCGTTGAGCAATGAAATCGCTTAGCGATAGGGTTTTGGCCATCGCCAGAGCCATTGCTTAGCGATGGCCCCTATGGGGAAAAATCGCTTTGCGATGATTGCGGGGAAGCGATCATGGCAAAGCGACCCTTTTTAAACAGCTGATCAGCGGTTCCAAAATGGCCACTGGAAAAATTAAATGGCCACCCGCTGTTTTGCCTTGCTTTAGAGCAGTGGTTCTTATTCTTTGTTACTCGGATGTTTTTGAACTGCAACTCCCAGAAACCCCAGCCAGCACAGTTGGTGGTGAAGGCTTCTGGGAGTTGCAGTCCAAAACTCCTGAGTAACCCAAGGTTAAGAACCAGTGCTTTAGAGGCACCGAAAATGGCTGCCCCTATGGAGGATTTTCGCATAAGGTCAGTTTTCAAGCCCATCGAAACACATTAAACACGTTTTAATGCATTTCTATGGGCTTTTTAAAATCACTTAGCAACGTTTTTCCTGGAACGGATTAACGTCGCTAAGCAAGGCACCACTGTATAATATAAATGGACCTCCGGAATAAGAAGTCCATATAAATCTCTTTATCCAGTAAAGAAAATGGTGAATCTCATCCATTGTTACAACTGTCCTGACTTTGTTCTTACAATTACAACAGTGTATTTTTTTACCAGTAAGAGAAGACATAATTACAGATCATATCCATAATTCCTGAATTCTTACTAGAATGCAACTGAATCCTCAAGAAAGCCAAGCCTGCACCTGTAAATAAAAATCTGTTATTTAAACCTATCAACTCACCTGGCATTTTATTAAGATGTCAAAGAAATCCTCATCTGGTTCACTGCTGCTACTACTCATCAAATGGCCAAGCACTGACTGGCTATTATGCTGATTAAGCCGAAGTCCTGGTAAGTTACTGGCACTGGCTCGCTGATCATCTAGACGTCTACTCTGCGAGCTAACAAGTAGATCTAGAAATTCGTCTGTATGCGGCGAGATCATGGAAGTAGAAAAGGCTGCAAAATAGTAAGAAATAGGAACCATTTGCATAGGTCGCATACATTTCAGCTCTTACTATTTTATTCAGATGCTGGAATAGTGCACAGTATAAAATTAATTACATTTTTTCATTGCTCGAGATGGTGTAGACGATGCAGTTGCTGTCAATCTAGTTCTGTCCTGAAAACAATATCGTTGATCATCCATTCTATTGCTCTGAAATCGACTCAGCAAGTCAAAAAACCCTTCATCTCCAGGTACATCTGTGCTATTTTTCTAAAAAAGCAAGAGACAAAAGGTAGATTAGTTTTTCGTACACACAAAAATATACAAATCATTGTTTAATCAAGTTAAGACATATTAGTACATAGCATTATGAGAAACAGAAATATGTCATTAGATGAGGGAAGGTGAAATGAGTTATTGAACAAGAACCCAAGGTATGTGACCTGAGAACCAAGTTTCAATCTCTCTACATGAATCACTTATCAAGATTTTATCATCAAATGTTCAGTTACCAACTTTTCCATCCTTAAAAGTGTATGTTCATAAATAGTTAACTGATTTCAATGGAAATTGCTTTCAAAGAAAGCTTGCCATTTCATTCTTAGCTGGCATGAGCCACATGAGATTGCTGATCTTTTTTTCCCCAAAATCAAGACAATAAAATAAAACCAAAAAGCCTCCAAAATGATCTTTTCACTGTCCTTTAAGATATATCTCAACATCCAGAACTTTAGGGTGATAAAATATTTCACCACAAATACCTTCGGTGAACTTAGCCGATGATCAATAGAATTACTAGCATCCTGAAGAACCTTTGAAGTGATGTTTTTGTATTTTTTGCCTTTTAATCGATTTACAAAGTGCAGTTTTGCTGAAGGTTTGGGAACTAGTGGTTTCTGTTTTGCTAGAATTTCACTGTTCCAGTCCTGAACCTAGGAAACAAGGAACATTGTATATTAAGAAACTATCCAGAAGACAGTTTCTGATAGCACAAAATGCTAGCTAGTTTAATTTTTGTTGCTTTGGCAACATATTCTATACTTCTGTAGTATCCACTGCAACCTGCCTTACTACAATATTTGCCATACAAAATTTGAGGGACAGTCACACTGTCCCAGTGACAAGGTATTTATTTAAATGGTAACAAAACTGCTATCTTTCTAGAACACAAGAACGACCTTAAAAAAAAGTGGTTAAAAAAGTTCAGAAGAACAGCTGCAGCTAGAGCAGCTTAGATGAAGTTTAATAGATTGATCCTTGTGGATCTCATACATGGATGTTACCTACTGATAAGTTAAATGCCTACTCTATCAGGATCTGAATTTTTCAGAACTATTACTTTGTGGAGGCTATGCATTCACACTTGAAACATTGATATAAAAGACATGTTTTACTACTTTCTAAGCTAAGCTGCTCATCTACTTTGAAAAGCAACATACTGGACGAAACTCTGAAGATCACATTACACTGAAACCATTCTTCATTCTATCAGCAAGGTACTGCACAATTACCCTTCATTTCAGAGACATTACAAGCCAATAGCACTGATTATGCTCAGCAGTACTCAGCTTTTTAATCATTTTACATTCTCCCCTACTCCACTAATACTTTTGATACTGTCTTCCAAAAACAATGGGTTAATGCATAAACTGTAATAATTTGCTACAGAAACAAGCATGAAAAATTCTAGCCCTAAGTTAAATCAACTAAATGATTTTGTACATATCTTAGGACGCATATTACCAGCATCCCAGAAAGAGGAAACACAGGTGGTAAACATGCTGCTTAACACAGGGCTAGAGCTATAGTGTGTATACACTTGTACAGTGAGTAGTTAAGCTGTGCAAGTTTGATTTTAGAGATAAAAGATATGTAACTGAAGGCAGAATAAGCAGGGCTAGTGTTTCAAATTAAAATGACTGAAATCCTTAGGAGGGATTTAGCGAGTCAACTCCATAGGTTCTGTTGATTCAAATGGGCTAATTGTGACATACTTCACCATAGTTAAGTCACAACTAGAATGGGCCCATTTCAATTAACAGAACTTACAGAAGAGTTGACTCACCAAATCCCCACTAATTCACTGGGCCTATTCCAGAGCCCCTTATTACACGAGGTGACTAGATTTCAGCCAATATGTTTTTGTTTGAGCAAGTCAGCAATGTAAGAAGAAAGCTCAAGCAGAAAAAGTTCTCACTATGCTCTGTCTACTGAAGCAATATACTGACAATGACATTTTGAACTGCTGATACTGCTATAAGGTGCTATCTCTGAGAGCCAGCATGGTACAGTGGCCAGCGTGTCAGACTAGGCCTCAGAAGGTCTGGGCTTAAATTCCTGCTAAACCATGGTAACTTACCACGGATGGCAACCATGAACCACTCCTTGAATACCTCACGTATCTTGAAAACTCTGTAAGGATCACTGCTAAGTTGGAAGCAATTTTATGGATTTTAACGACGACTATATAAATATTTATAATTAACTGTTCTCTTTTATCAAAAATATGGTCATCCTGACTGGTAGCACAATCATATGATCTGAATGCATATGTAAGAAGTAAGTATGTACTTCAATCTTGAGTGGCATTTTAAAGATTATGAGTTGGATTCAGACTTGGTTGTCAGTAGTGCTCACTGATTCATTGGGAACTATATTCAACTGAGGTAACTCTGGATCCAACTCTGCTAATTATTTTTACACACTATTTCCCTCACAGTATGCAAAGGGCACTAACCTTCTCAGGCGTTAGCTTCATCAGTTCCATATTTTCCATACTGTGGCGACGTCCTACCCGGGGTCTAGTGCCTTGAAATGGAGAAATAAAGTATTTTGAAGAAGAATTTAGTAATAGGATATAAAACATATAGCTACTGGGGTAGGGGATTCCTAATGCCCGTTTTTTTTAAAAATCAAATTAACTCATATTTTGAAGCCATAAAAGGACATGCTAGCCTTTTTTCTTTAACCACTGTCGACTAAAACTGCAATCAGATACTACATTAATATCTACAATTATTTTTATTTCTCTATAAAATCCATTTTTGTGGCTATTCAAATGTTACCCCATCATTTGTTAAGCTATAATTTACCCCTTTATGCATTCTCAGTTAATGTTTCAATGCATTCAAATTGTTTCTTTAAAGGGAATAATAGGACATTCAAAGCTAAACGAGTTATAGGTTTTCCATGTTTGATTTTAATTCCTAGATAGGCCTACAAAAGTAGTCTAATAACTACTTTCAGAAAGTATTTATTTTATTTATTTATTTATTTATTTGATTTATATCCCGCCTATCTGGACCAACGGCCCACTCTAGGTGGCTTCCAATACAAGACAAGACAATAAAAACACAAAATACAGTATACAAAATATATATTTTGTATACTTCCAATACAAGATAAGACAATAAAAACACAAAATATACAAAATACAGTGGTGCCTAGCATAACGATGTTAATTGGTTCCAGAAAAAAAAACGTTATGTGAAAACATCGTTATGTGAAGCACCATTTCCCATAGGAATGCATTGAAAACCGGTTAATCCGTTCCAATTGGAACGGATTATCCGTTTTTTCCCCTCATCCC